AAAATGGGAGAGCAGGAGCTCAGCACTGGCTGTGGAGTCTGGAGTTAAACACTGGAGAATCACAGGGGTACAGAGATGTGGAAATAAAAAAATTCTGAGGCATCAGTCACAGTTGGCAAAACTTAAAAAAAATGGTTAAAAATAGTCTGGAGTTAAACACTGAAGAATTTCAGGGTTACAGAGACATGGAAATAGCGAAACTGAAATCCTGAGGAGTCTGGAATTATCCACTAAAGAATTCCAGGGTTATGGAGATGTGGAAATAGAGAAATTCTGAAATCCTGAGGCATCAGTCAGAGCTGACAAAACTTAAAAAATGGTTAAAAGGGAGAGAGCAGGAGCTCAGCACTGTCTGAGGAGTCTGGAGTTAAACCCTGAAGAATGTCAGGGTTACAGAGACATGGAAATAAAAGAATTCTGAGGCATCAGTCAGAGTTGGCAAAACTTTAAAAAAAAATGGTTAAAAATGAGAGAGCAGGAGCTGAGAACTGTCTGAGGAGGCTGGAGTTAAACACTGAAGAATCACAGGGGTACAGAGATGTGGAAATAGAGAAATCCTGAGGAATCTGGAGTTATCCACTAAAGAATCACAGGGTTAAAGAGACATGGGAATAGAGAAAATGAAATCCTGAGGAGTCTGGAGTTAAACACTAAAGAATTCCAGGGTTACAGATATGTGGAGATAGAGAAGCTGAAATCCTGAGACAGAGCCAACAAAACTGTTCAAAAAAATGGTTAAAAACAGGAGAGCAGGAGCTCAGCACTGTCTGTAGAGTCTGAAGTTAAACATTAAAGAATTTCAGGGTTACAGAGATGTGGAAATAGAGAAATTCTGAAATCCTGAGGCATCAGTCAGAGCTGACAAAACTTAAAAAAATGGTTAAAAGTGAGAGAGCAGGAGCTCAGCACTGTCTGAGGAGTCTGGAGTTAAACACTAAAGAATCACAGGGGTACAGAGACATGGAAATAGAGAAACTGAAATCCTGAGAAGTCTGGAGTTATCCACTAAAGAATTCCAGGGTTAACAGAGAGGTGGAAATAGAGAAATTCTGAAATCCTGAGGCATCAGTCAGAGCCAACAAAACTTAAAAAATGGTTAAAAGTGAGAGAGCAGGAGCTGAGAACTGTCTGTACAGTCTGGAGTTAAACACTAAAGAATTTCAGGGTTACAGAGACATGGAAATAGAAAAACTGAAATCCTGAGAAGTCTGGAGTTAAACACTAAAGAATTCCAGGGTTACAGAGATGTGGAAATAGAGAAATCCTGAAATTCTGAGGAATTTGGAGTTACCCACTAAAGAAACACAGGGGTACAGAGACATGGAAATAGAGAAATCCTGAAATTCTGAGGAGTCTGGAGTTATCCACTAAAGAATTCCAGGGTTATGGAGATGTGGAAATAGAGTAATCCTGCAATTCTGAGGTATCAGCCAGAGCCAACAAAACTGTTCCAAAAAATGGTTAAAAGTGAGAGAGCAGAAGCTCAGCACTGTCTGTGGAGTGTGGAGTTAAACACTGAAGAATTTCAGGGGTACAGAGATGTGGAAATAGAGAAATTCTGAAATCCTGAGGCATCAGTCAGAGCTGACAAAACTTAAAAAAAAAATTGGTTGAAAGTGAGAGAGCAGGAGCTCAGCACTAACTGAGGAGTCTGGAGTTAAACACTAAAGAATTTCAGGGTTACAGAGACATGGAAATATAGAAATTCAAATCCTGAGAAGTCTGGAGTTAAACACTGAAGAATTTCAGGGTTACAGAGATGTGGAAATAGAGAAATTCTGAAATCCTGAGGCATCAGTCAGAGTTGGCAAAACTTTAAAAAAAATGGTTAAAAATGGGAGAGCAGGAGCTCAGCACTGTCTGAGGAGTCTGGAGTTAAACACTGAAGAATCACAGGGGTACAGAGATGTGGAAATAGAGAAATCCTGAGGAATCCGAGAAATCCTGAAATCCTGAGGCATCAGTCAGAGCCAACAAAACTGTTCAAAAAATTGGTTAAAAACAGAAGAGCAGGAGTTCAGCACTGGCTGTGGAGTCTGGAGTTAAACACTGAAGAATCACAGGGGTACAGAGACGTGGAAATAGAGAAATCCTGAAATTCTGAGGAGTCTGGAATTATCCACTAAAGAATTCCAGGGTTATGGAGATGTGGAAATAGAGTAATCCTGAAATTCTGGGGCATCAATCAGAGCCAACAAAACTGTTCCAAAAAATGGTTAAAAGTGAGAGAGCAGAAGCTCAGCACTGTCTGAGGAGTCTGGAGTTAAACAGTGAAGAATTTCAGGGTTACAGAGACATGGAAATAGAGAAGCTGAAATCCTGAGACAGTCAGAGCCAACAAAACTGTTCCAAAAAATTATTAAAAGTGAGAGAGCAGGAGCTGGGAACTGTCTGTGGAGTCTGGAGTTAAACACTGGAGAATCACAGGGGTACAAAGATGTGGAAATTTCTGAGAAGTCTGGAGTTAAACACTAAAGAATCACGGGGTACAGAGACATGGAAATATAGAAATCGAAATCCTGAGGAGTCTGGAGTTAAACACTAAAGAATTCCAGGGTTAACAGAGATGTGGAAATAGAGAAACTGAAATCCTGAGGAATCTGGAGTTAGCCACTGAAGAATCACAGGGGTACAGAGATGTGGAAATAGAGAAAATTAAATCCTGAGGAGTCTGGAGTTATCCACTAAAGAATTCCAGGGTTACAGAGACGTGGAAATACAGAAATCCTGCAATTCTGAGGCATCAGTCAGAGCCAATAAAACTGTTCCAAAAAATGGTTAAGAACAGGAGAGCAGGAGCTCAGCACTGTCTGAGGAGTCTGGAGTTAAACACTGAAGAATCACAGGGGTACAGAGACGTGGAAATAGAGAAATCCTGAAATCCTGAGAAGTCTGGAGTTATCCACTAAAGAATTCCAGGGTTACAGAGATGTGGAAATAGAGAAATTCTGAAATCCAGAGCTGACAAAACCTAAAAAAATGGTTAAAAGTGAGAGAGCAAGAGCTCAGCACTCTCTGTGGAGTCTGGAGTTAAACACTGAAGAATCACAGGGGTACAGAGACGTGAAAATAGTGAAATCCTGAGGAATCTGGAGTTATCCACTAAAGAATCATGGAGATTCAGAGACATGGAAATAGAGAAACTGAAATCCTGAGAAGTCTGGAGTGATCCACTAAAGAATTCCACGGTTACAGAGACATGGAAACAGAGAAATCCTGAGGAGTCTGGAGTGATCCACTAAAGAATTCCAGGGTTAACAGAGATGTGGAAATAGAGAAATCCTGAAATTCTGAGGAGTCTGGAGTTAAACACTAAAGAATTCCAGGGTTATGGAGATGTGGAAATAGAGAAATTCTGAAATCCTGAGGCATCAGTCAGAGCCAACAAAACTGTTCCAAAAAAATGGTTAAAAGTGAGAGAGCAGGAGCTGGGAACTGTCTGTGGAGTCTGGAGTTAAACACTAAAGAATCACAGAGACATGGAAATAGAGAAGCTGAAATCCTAAGACAGTCAGAGCCAACAAAACTGTTCCAAAAAATGGTTAAAAGTGAGAGAGCAGGAGCTCAGCACTGTCTGAGGAGTCTGGAGTTAAACATTAAAGAATCACAGGGGTACAGAGATGTGGAAATAGAGAAATCCTGAGGAATATGGAGTTATCCACTAAAGAATTCCAGGCTTACAGAGACGTGGAAATAGAGAAACTGAAATCCTGAGACAGTCAGAGCCAACAAAACAGTTCCAAAAAATGGTTAAAAACAGGAGAGCAGGAGTTTAGCACTGTGGAGTCTGGAGTTAAACACTAAAGAATCACAGGGGTACAGAGATGTGGAAATAGAGAAATCCTGAAATTCTGAGAACTCTGGAGTTACCCACTAAAGAATCACGGGGTACAGAGACATGGAAATATAGAAATCCTGAGGAGTCTGGAGTTAAACACTAAAGAATCACAGGGGTACAGAGATGTGGAAATAGAGAAACTGAAATCCTGAGGAATCTGGAGTTAGCCACTGAAGAATCACAGGGGTACAGAGACATGGAAATAGAAAAATACTGAAATTCTGAGGAGTCTGGAGTTATCCACTAAAGAATTCCAGGGTTACAGAGATGTGGAAATAGAGAAATCCTGAAATTCTGAGAAATGTAGAGTTATCCCCTAAAGAATCATGGGGGTACAGAGACATGGAAATAGAGAAAATTAAATCCTGAGGAATCTGGAGTTATCCACTAAAGAATTCCAGGGTTACAGAGATGTGGAAATAGAGAAGCTGAAATCCTGAGACAGAGCCAACAAAACTGTTCAAAAAAAATGGTTAAAAACAGGAGAGCAGGAGCTCAGCACTGTCTGAGGAGTCTGGAGTTAAACATTAAAGAATTTCAGGGTTACAGAGATGTGGAAATAGAGAAAATGAAATCCTGAGGCATCAGAAGGAAACAGAAGGATCACCCCGTGCCACCCCTGCCATGGCAGGGACACCTCCCACTGTGCCAGGGTGCTCCCAGCCCTGTCCAGCCTGGCCTTGGCACTGCCAGGGATCCAGGAATTCTCTGAAAACCAAAATTTAACAGCAGCAGCACCACGTACCTCTGATCCTCTCCACCAGATACTCCTGGTTGGGGGTGAGATCCAGGTAGGGCACCAGAGCGTTGAGGGTGGGGATGAGTGGAGCTTTCACCAGGGCTGCCTGTTTGAGGCTGCTGATGCTGGCTTCTGCAAAACACAGAGCTCAGGAAACATTTCACACCCCACACCACCCCAAAGATCCTGCAGTTACACAAAGTAGCACAAATCTCCACATCAAAGCTATGAGGAACCTATAGGAACTTAAGAGAGAAAAAAAAAGTCAGGGCAAAAACAGAATYCATCTCATTTTTATGGRCTTKGCAATCTTTTTTCATGAGGAAACACTMTAAGARACAGCCCMAAAAAGGGAATTAAATAAAAAGCCAGATATCAMATCTACTYCTCAGTTAATTTGAACCAACAGGAGAAGYAGCTCCCCACAGAGCTCAGGAAACATTTCACACCCCACACCACCCCAAAGATCCTGCAGTTACACAAAGTAGCACAAATCTCCTATGAGGAACCTACAGGAACTAAAGAGAGAAACAAAGCCAGGACAAAACCAAAATCCACCTCATTTTTATGGACTTGGCAACTTTTGTTTCTTAGAGTGTTTCCTCAAGAAAAGCCCAAAAAAGGGAATTAAATAAAAAGCCAGATATCACATCTACTCCTCAGTTAATTTGAGCCAACAGGAGAATCTCCAGCTCCACGTGGAGCTCAGGAAACATTTCACGCCCCACACCACCCCAAAGATCCTGCAGTTACACAAAGTAGCACAAATCTCCTATGAGGAACCTACAGGAACTAAAGAGAGAAACAAAGCCAGGACAAAAGCAGAATCCACCTCATTTTTATGGACTTGGCAACTTTTTTTTTTTTTTTTTTTTTTTTTTTTTTTTCCCAAAAAAGGGAATTAAATAAAAAGCCAGATATCACATTTATTTCTCAGTTAATTTGAACAAACAGGAAAAGCAGCTCCTTTAGAACCCTAACCTGATAGGAAAAGCAGAACTCCAGATCATCAAAATTTAAAAAAAATTCTGTTGAACTTTTCAAACTCMATTCTTTCAGGAATGGGATAATTTGAAGGAAGAATTTGGATGAGCACATAGCAGTAGAGACAGTGAGATTTTTTGTGATACACTAAGAATTTACAGCACATTTGTCTTTGAAAAGTTTTCTGATTAATAAGAAATAAAAATTGATGATACTTGGAGCTGTAAAATTAAGTTTAGGGAAACAAAACAAAACAAAAAAAAAAAAAGAAAAGGGGAGTGATTTAAGAATTTTGCCCTGAGTGTCTTGGTGCTAACACTGATATTTTGAGATTATGGAAATAATCTCAAAAGCTGAATTAATGCAAGAGGTGGAACAAAGATSCCACCAAAACAGAGCAGAAATGGGACAAAAATATTTCCCAGACTTAATTAATTAACACCAATTCCAAGGGAATTGCCAGGCTGCTGCCTCATCCTACCTCCAATCTGCAGTTCAGGACATCCCATCCTCCTCAATTGAGTGCTCACAGATTCCATCTCTTCCACGAGAGGAACCAGAATGGTGTCATTGATCCACTGGCAAAGAAAAGGGGGAAATTCAAGCTCAGAAGCAACAAAAATCTGAAATAAACCCTTCAGCTTCACCCTGTAACCATTCCCACCACAAGCACAAAGCAGTTTAATAGAAATGCTGAAGCAAATCAAGAAGGAAAAGAATTTAATTTATCAAGTCAGGCAAAGTTTAAATGACTTTTTAATAAGGCAGAGAATTCAATGTAAAGGAGTTGAGAAAACAAATCTGTATCAGGTAAAGCTTTCCTAGACAAGAAAGATGGGAATTAGGAATCACAGCCCTCAAACCATAATTTGATGRATCCATTCTCTTTCCCATTTGTTTCAGGAATCAGGGAAATAAGAAATTTGTGGGATTTGTATGGGACAAATCTGCACTGCAATCCTTCCCATCTCTGCCACAGAAGTCATGGAGGTATTTTCTCCTTTAGAGAGGGACTTACATTCCTGAATTTGGCTGTCCAGGAGTCCATGTGATCCAGGAGCTGTCGGTTCATTGTCACCCGTGCCCAAACCTGAAAAAGTTTATTAAATCCACCGTGAAAAGTTTAAAAATCCACATGAGAACCTCACAGAACAGCCCAGAGCTTTTAGGGTCTGGAACAATTCCTGCTGCTTGCAAAAGAGGGGAGTTGGTTAAATGCTGGAGGAATTTTTCTCCCCAACCTTTTTCTCAAATCCCAACCTTTGCACAAAAATACATTTTAATGCCCATTTCTCCCTTTTAACCTATTTTTCTGTGGAATTTACCTCCTCTGCAGCCTGTTTTGAGCTCAGATCAGCTTCATCCTTGTGTGCAGAAGGAGCCTGGGATCTGCAAGCCAACTGATATTGGAATTTCCTCAGGATCTGTGCGTGGTCTGCCATGGACCGGCTGTAATTCCAAAAAGTTGGGCTGCTGGAAGGAGAGCTGGAATCTGAGCTTCCTGAAAAGAWTAATTCATTTTAAAGTTATTTAAATTATTGTCAAATAATTCTGGAACAAACAGCAGAGGGATAATGGGTCAGTGTGAGTGGATACACTAAAGTCACTCTGCAGAAACACTGGATTCATCCTTATCTCGATTGTCCCTCCCTTATCTTGATTGTCCCTATCCAGGGAAAAACTGTCTGGAGAGGAATCATAGGGAAATCATCTCCTTTATTTTTATCTTGATTGTCTCTATCCAGGGGAAAACTGTCTGGAGGGGAATCAGAGGGAAATCATCTCCTTTATTTTTATCTTGATTGTCCCTATCCAGGGCAAAAACTGTCTGGAGGGGAATCATCTCCTTTATTTTTATCTTGATTGTCTCTATCCAGGGAAAAAACTGTCTGGAGGGGGAATCATAGGGAAATCATCTCCTTTATTTTTATCCTGATTGTCTCTATCCAGGGAAAAAACTGTCTGGAGAGAAATCATCTCCTTTATTTTTATCTTGATTGTCCCTATCCAGGGAAAAACTTCCTGGAGGGGAATCATAGGGAAATCATCTCCTTTATTTTTATCTTGATTGTCTCTATCCAGGGAAAATCTGTCTGGAGAGGAATCATAGGGAAATCATCTCCTTTATTTTTATCTTGATTGTCTCTATCCAGGGAAAAACTGTCTGGAGGGGAATCAGAGGGGAATCATCTCCTTTATTTTTATCTTGATTGTCTCTATCCAGGGCAAAACTGTCTGGAGAGGAATCATAGGGAAATCATCTCCTTTATTTTTATCTTGATTGTCTCTATCCAGGGAAAAACTGTCTGGAGAGAAATCATCACCTTTATCTTTATCTTGATTGTCCCTATCTTGTCCAGAACTGCCTGGGTTCATCCCCTTTATCTGACACCATCTCCACAAAATCCCCCTCTTATCAAGGTGATCATCTTATCACAGCCAACAACTGCTCCAGAGATAAGCCATCAGCATTCCCACATTTAGGTCCTTTTTGAAGGAATAATTGGAGGAAAACTGCCTGAAGGGGGAACAATGGGAGGAGGAGGAGTTGTCTTTGACAAGCTCACAGGTGATTACCCATAAATGACCTTTTTACTGGTACTTTTTTCACCCACAAAAGGTATTTATGAATAAAACAATCACTTTTTCTCACCAAATCCCCCAATTTACCCAATTGAACTCGGTGCTGTTTCTCCTCCTCGTTCCTCAGGAAGGTGTCCAGGGATTTGACATCTGTTATGCAGTCATCTTTGTAGGTGGAATTGTTGTACARAATGGGGGAGAATCGGTAGTGAGACCTTATCCCACCGCTGTCCACCGGTGCCACGCTCATGGAATGTGGAGATCCATTGGGAGAGTGGCTGAAGCTGGAAACCTCGGGTGCAAACAAACCATTTTAATTTTTTAATTTTTATTATTCTACAAGGCTCAAGCTGTGCATTTAGGATGTGTCCCCCTCCTTACCTTACTGTAGCTGCTGCTGCTGGGTGAATAAGTGACAGAGGTGCTGTGAGAGGGGCTGGCTCCTGCCAGGGCCTGCAGTTGGGGGCTGTATCCACTCAGACAGCTCGCAGAGAATTTGGGGCTGGCGCTGGGGGAACGGGAGGGGCTGTAGCTCAGCACACACTGCCCCTGGATGGGTGGGGAAGGTGTCAGGGACAGCACCCTCTTGGCTGCTGGCTCCCGTGGAGGGGTGACAGGTACAGCTGCAATGGAAGGACCAGCAGGGTTACATTGGGATGCAGCAGCTCCAAATTCCCCTTTCAAACACACACATCGTGCTTTTTTTTTTTTTTTTTTTTTTTTTTTTGTTTTTAGGGCAGTATTGGGGATGTTAAAAAGGACACTGAGAACACAGTCCTTACAGACCTCAAACTGAAACCCGTGACCCCAGCTCAGAATAAATCCTACATTCTGACATTCCATAACCTCGAATATTCCAGCAGCTCCTCCACCCACCCAYTCTACTCATATTTTCATCTTAATTATCTAAAATCCAATTAGTTCCACTTCAAATGGCCACAAACTAAACCCCAACAAATTCCACTCAACGTGTAGAACAACATCAAGCCCAACCCTGTGTCCTACATGGGACAAACCCAAACCCCAGCTCAGTTTACAGCTCATGCCACAGGAGATAATTTAAAATAAACAATCCTGAACTGGAGAAACAACAAAAAAMCCACAAAAAWATTAAAAAGAGGGGTTGATTCCCCACCTGCCTTGCGTAGCCAGCCCACAACCTGCTGGCTGGGACTTGTGACCAAACTTGCTGGTGCTGCTGTGTAGGTGAAGTATCTCCAGAAATCAAACAGGGCATTGAGGCTGAACAGGGCTGCCAGGGCAAACTCTGCAAGAAAAAAACGAGTTTCTGTCATACTTTAAAAATAAATAACAATATTCACAAAATGACACTATGTCCATTAAAAAAGATCATTATTAGTGCTACAAATTTGGTGAAATTTTTAAGAWTTCTTCACTTTCTTAGGCAAGAACCATTGGAGGTAATTTTCCTCACTATTTAAATTAATTTACACATTTCAAAATTTAGTTTTTAAAATGGAATGGTTATTTTCCAAACAGAAAGTCTCACGATTTTAAGATTTATGCTCCTTTCCATCCTGTTTGAGACAGTTAAAGAGTCTTCTCTAAAACAAACTCGAATTGTTGTAAAATACCACCCACACCCAGAGCACAACACAGCAGAAAAATAAACCTAAAGATTTATTAGATTAGGTAAATCTAATAAATTTAATTTATTAGAACCTTAATCCACACATTAAAAAGATTTCATTCATTAAATAAATTTTTCATGCCCTTTAATGTAGAGAAAAAGCTGATAACACTCCTTTTCTGCCACTAAAAATGATGAAATTCCAGCGGTTTCAAGGGAGATCACAGAAAGCAAAACAAAGTTTTGATTTAAATCTCTAACATTGAAAACAAGCTGCCTCAAAACGACCTCCCAGCCAGAAAAATGAATAAAAAAGAATCCTAAAATTTGATATAAATACTGCAACGACTCACCAATATACCAGAGTGGAAAGCAGGTGATGTTGTAGTATGTGCTTAGAAGTTTCCCAGTCCTGAAAAGCAAAACAAAAAGGGAGAATTTAGCAAAAAAATGCCATTTTTGGGGAATATTTAAAGCTCTACACATTGGAATCTTTGCTGGTTTGAACTAAAAGGAACAATTCACTYACATTTCAGTGTAAATGATGCCAGCTACAGATATATTGAGGAGTCCCCAGGCCAGCACCACCTTCCTGGTCTCAGCCTGTTTCCTCATCTTCACAGCCAGRTCGATCAGGGAAGTGTCTGGACTCTTATTCGGCGTCATTGTCTGTGATAACAGAAGGAAAAAGCAAAAATCTGTGAATTTTTACTCAGCAGRAAGATTCTCAGACTGAGGAACAGTGTCCATCTTCTCCCTAATTTTTGAATATTATCCTTCAAAAGAAAGAGGGAAAGTTCCCACCTCTTCCAGAAATAAGAAAGAAAAAACAGTGTTTTTATTGAAAATTACCGCTTATTTCAGTAAGTAATAGAGTGTTTTCTGTCATATTAAACCCACAGATTTTATCTTTTCCTTTATGCCCAGTAAAACTTTATGTTAAGGAAATAACCCTGCCATAGGCAGGCAGACCCCACATCTTCCGCCGACCTCAACCCCTTGCCCAAACTTCTCAAACTTCACCTTTTCCCCAAGCCAAACCYCTCCTCTCCCTCACCACAAACCTCTCCAATCCTCCTTCTCAAACTCCTCTGCTCCCCCTCCCCAAATTTAACCTCTCCCTCTTCCCAAAAGTCTCCT